CAACATCTTCAATCCAATTTACCAATTCATTCTGCAATATTTCAACATCTTCAATCCAATTTACCAATTCATTCTGCAATATTTCAACATCCTTAATCCAATTCATTTTGCAATATTTCAACATCTTCAATCCAATTTACTAATTCATTCTGCAATATCTCAACATCTAGAAATACCCAAGAGTTTAACTTTACTATTTATGTCCTTTTATATCATTTTGTTTTCTATCATCCAACCACCCTAATATACAATTAACTAGTCTTCCCCAGCCCTACCAGACACAGTTTGTAAAATGCTTTTTGCCAATCTAAGTCCATCAAGTTCACACACTGTCCTTTGTCTAGATAACCAGTAATGTTCTTGAAGTAGATAAGAGATTAGTAAAGCAAGATGTTTCCAGATTGGTTTTCATTTACAACATTTCACTAAATGATTTTGTAAAGCTTCTTTTACCAGACTTTAGAAATTTTCCAACTACAAAAGACTAAAAGGCCTATAATTTCTAAGTAAACTCTTCACATCCCATTTTAAAACAAAAGTAACAACTCAATCCTCAAACACATGCCCATAGTTTCTTCACCTACCAAAAATATTTGACCACATTTAAAGCCATGGAAAAAACCTCATCTGACACTGGAGCTTTATTTTTAATGTTTCAATTTTCCTACTTACCATCGAGGGATCAATTAATACTTATATGACTCAAGTGGATTCTAATATTTCCCTTACAATTCTCAGAATCTAGTAATCTTCTCATGTAAAACAAAGAGGGCATTTAAAAGCTCAGCAATTTCGTGTTAATTAAAATTTTTGCAAAATCCAGATTAATATTTTCTTTACCTTCAACATACTTATTAAAAATTCTTACCATTGGTTTTAATGTTATTAACCAGCTGTTTTTCATAAGTCCTTTTAGACTTCCCAATTTGTTTTCAACAAAATCCCTAGCCTTTCTAAAGTTCGGGAATTTTTGTAACCTATCAATCAATTTAAATTTATGGCATTTATTCTTGATTTTCTTCATGTGGTTAGAAAACCAATTAGATAAAATAATTTTACATAATATTTAAGGACAATAAGGAACCTGTTGGTCCCTCAATGCTGTTCCATCCACAACAAAAACCCAAAGCCAGCCCTTATAATTTAAATATCTATCAAGTCTTCCCTTAAATTTTCTGCATCCATCATATCTGAAGACAATCCATTCCAAAGGTCAACCACCCTCTCGGAAAAGTAAAACTGTCTTAGCTGACAATGACTCCTACCCTGCCAAAATTTGTATGCGAGTCACTTTGTTCTACTCTCCTAACCATTAAGTATGAAAAAAGATGATGCATCAACAATCAGTTCTCACTTAGATAGGTGCAATAATCAAAAACAGTAATAACCGGAAACATAAATTTCAATTATTTGAATATTTTTGTAGGTCGTGACACAATTAAGCTGAACAACATTGAATTAATCAAAAATAAAAGGAAATCATAATGGCAATACTTCGACAACTTGGACAATAAACAATAACAGTAATTTCAGTTACGTGATTTTCTCACATTAACCTGTTTAATCATAATTTTGAGTAACTTACATAGGGTTCCCGAAAGTGTTCTGTTTCAAGAGTAAATGAAACCAAAATTAGGAGTAATAAACATTTTTATTTCTTGCTTTTGAAGTTCATATGTCATGATGTGTTGCAGACTAAAGAGTGCATAATTATTCTCATGATTCATGGCATGTGCACAATTTACTGACATCACGACAGTACAAATTGCAACATTAAGCATCCCTTATGTGATGTAATTTTAGTGTTAACTGACTGACTGACAGACATCACACTACAGGTGACTCCTTCAGGCAGCTTCTGCACTGTTTTGGAGAAATTAATTAAGTGAATCACCAAGCTCTACTCAACAAGTTACAAGTTTTTCACTCATATAATAGAGCCATGCTCTCTTTTAAAAATATCTAACACTATGAAATAATTTATAACCTGAAATTTCATTATTTGAATCAGTCACTTATAAATCTGAGAAACCACTCAACAGTGTGGCCGAATGAGGGCTATTCTAGTATACTTGGCACAGTTTTTGTCTCATCTCAGAAAGGAAATTGATTTATTGGAAAACGTTTAGAGAATGGTTACTAGGATGATTCCAGGGATGAAAGGTTATCTTGGTTATCTTATATATTATTTTGAGAAAAAAGAATAAGAGATAATCATGAAGTTAAAAAGATCATTTGTGTGATCAATAGGATAAAGGATTCAGTTGTCTTTATGCTATATTCTAAAAACAACAGGATAAAAGAATGGAAACTTAAGATTTGATATAGACAGAATAAACACCAATTACAAATTTAATTTTTCTAACTGGATGATTGACCTATGGAATAACTACAATAAGTTGTCATTTACAATGGCAGAAGTCACTGATTTACAATCAAAGTCAAAGGGTTTAAAAGGAGAATATAATTTAAGAAGAATAAATGATGGGTTTAACTTTAAGTGGGTGTACAAAGGCAGTCTTAAATATCAAATGGTCTCGTGTTGTGTATATGTTGTCTTTAAACCTGGCACGTACTTTTAAACTTACAATTTAATTTATGTTCTCTTTTATTTACCTATCTCTTCGTTGTATAATCCCATCAGCTTATTCACAATTTCTAAAACTCCCTCACCACTATGTAACTTTTAATTTAAATTCAATTTGAATGCGAAGGCTGCCAAGAAGTCCTGACTCATTCGCAATTTTTGGATATTCAATTTGAATTTCAAATAACTTAAGATTAACTTCAAAGTTAAATTTTCTGACGATTATAGTAGTATGGCTTGTACTACTGCTACTACTAATTATTTTAGTAGTGGTTTAAGTAGTTATAGCTATAGCACTTGAATAATTATAGCACTATTACTGGTATTAGTAGCAACATAATAATAATTATTTTAATCCAACAGTCTAAATACATTTTATTTTGTTTAACTTTAAGTGTGAGAGCATGGCTCGCAAAATATGTATTTATTTTTCTTTGTTTCCTTCATATAATATATAGAGTAATCATTAATGGTAAAACCTGAATAAAGAAAACAGCATGAAAATAAAATAACGTTCTCATCGTATGAAATATAAACTTACAGTTTTTCAAGCAGAATGGCTGTTTTAGTCTTTTAGTTCTAAGTTCTTCTAGTCTACTGGGTAAGTTGCGGGATTAAACATAACTTTATGTATCAGAAAACATTACCTAAAAATAAATATAGGAAACTTACAAGCAAAGTTACAACTTTGTGCCTGGGATATAAATATTTTATACCTTAGTTATCCAGTAGATTAAATGTTTTTATTTCAACAACAACACAAAAAAACCTTAAGCAATAAATTCGTGGCATACTCTGAAACTTTGGATATTATCACGTAGCATGGTAGTTGAAAATATTGATGATTTGTGCCCCCTCCCGGTGACTCAACCACAAGTCTAAGGATTTATAGCGCTTAAAATGGGGTTTCGATACCCATGGTTGGCAAAGTACAGATAACCCATTGTACTTAACAACAAATTAACGATTTGTAGTGTTACGTGAAATATTCGTTAAAATGGCATTTTTTAGAAAAGGGTTGAATTTTCGAATTATGTACATTGTGAAAGCGCGCATAACATTTTTTTTAAACAATGTTTGAGCAGTTTGTCATGAAGTATTCTCTTGCACTTTGTAACTTAGATAACTTTTCCCCCAAATATTTCAGAGCAGTTTGTCATGAAGTATTCTCTTGCACTTTGTAACTTGGATAACTTTCCCCCAAATATTTCAGAATGCTTTAGAAAAATGTATTTGTAACTATTGTAAGGTATATAGCATACTGTCATTTGTTTATGCATATTGGAGGGTGATTACAACGTATTGTTTTTCTTCTATGTACGCTGAGGGGAACACTTTACACTAATTTTCACCACATAATCGACAATTTTTTTTTTTGTAAACTTCTCTTATTATTACTGTTGTTACGTCTCCGTTCGCTAGCTAATTTTCCGTAAATTCTTTCCGACTAAACTTTAGCGACACAAGTCCTTTCTTAAATAAAACTGGTTTACTCTTTCCGAATACAACTTTACGATACACTTAATTTCAACAGTCACGCTATAATTCTCAACGAACGTCTCACGTGCTCGAGTTCAATTAAACACTCTCTGACTGCAGTTCAATTACTCACTACACTGTTCCGTCACGTTGTGACCATGTTATATATATACCACACTACTGTTACGTCTCCGATTGTTAATTAACTTTCCGTAACTTCGTTCGACGAAACTTAAGCGACACAAGTTCTTTCTTAATAAAAACTGGTTTATTCTTTCCGAATATAACTCTGCGATACACTTAATCTCAGTACACGCGCTAAAACAACACTGTAACGAACGAACGTTAACTTCAACAATACCCTGTGACTGCAGTTCAATTACTCACTATCTACCCAGACATTACATTCCCCTCTTTTATATACCAGCCTACCCTATATCTAGTAAGAACTAGAACATTCGCCAAAGTACATGATAGTTCTAGAAACGTTGGGTCACAGTAGTCATGTGACTCGATGACGCAACACTACCCCCAATCTAGTAATCTCCCGACAATTCACAAAGGTTCGAGAAAGAAGAGGCGTGATACTAGTCACGTGACCTCGCTGACGCAACACTGCCCCCTTCGTAGTATTGTTCGTCCCGAACAATAGCCACTTACATTAAACCAATAACAATTAACAATAACTTAATTAAAATGTACAGAATTACAAACACAAAATTACAATTCAACAAAGTCTCTTAATTTTATGGGACGTATCTTCATCTGTACTGATCTCCGTCTCGTTGGCTTCTACTTAACATGGGGTTCATCTGCTTCTTCAGGAAATGTTCTATCGTCGATAACAGTCACATCTATGGTAGTAACTTCATCAAGAGCTTCTCCGTTTCTCTTCTCAAAACTGAATAGAGTTTCTTCTTGAACATTGGCTTTTTCAG